TTTTGAGTCACCCTGCATATGCAAATCCAAAAATATGAATGGAATGATAAATCACAAGTACAGACTCATCATATTTTGTACATTTTAGATATGATTTATTCGGCAAACTTTCGAGCTGACGTCATCAGTTTTTTGTAGAAGATAACCAAATATATTTTGACTAAACATTTATTATGCTCTTTATGACCTTAAAACATCTGCAAGATTTCAGAGCATTCGGTTTTGTAGTTCCTGATTAAATCAATAAAATATATTTACGCATTCATTAATTTTTTTGAGTCACCCTGTATATGCAAATCCAAAAAATATGAATGGAGTGATAGATCACAAGTACAGACTCATCATATTTTGTACATTTTAGATATGATTTATTCCACAAACTTTTGAGCTGACGTCATCAAGTTTTTGGAGGGGATAAGCAAATATTTTTTGACTAAAGATTTATGATGCTCTTTATAGCCTTAAAACATCTGCAACATTTCAAAGCATTCTGGTTAGCAGATTAAAAATTAAATTTCAAAATGTTGTTTTATAATTTTGATTTTTTTTTCAAAAATCTGAACGTTTCGGGTGAAAAGTCGATTCAGAGTTGTAAACTACATGTGTAGGACTATGTTATTTTATACAATTGAAAACCCATTTACTATGTACAATTTTGAAGTGACGTCATCGCATTAGTGGTGGGGATGATTAGACAAATTTTGGTTAGCGTTTTACCATCTACATGATATTCTTAATATAAGTACAAAATTTCACAACAATCGGTCGAGTACTTTCGGAGATTATCTGTCTAATAAAAATCCGGGACAACAGACGGACAGACGGACAGACGGACGGACAGACGGACAGACGGACAGACGGACGGACAGACGGACAGACAGACGGAAATGGGAGACCTATTTCTTCGTCTTCTAGGGGTCATGAAAGATCGAGAAAACGTAAAAGTAGAGAGTCGGCCGACGGACTCGATTACAATACTTCCTTTGTTTACGCTCGGGAAGTAAAAACGCGGATACATTATGTGAAATAATGCAAACTGCAGTATAAATAGTCGAGGAATGGTGCAGCAGGCATACCCTCTCCGTTAATGGAGAGAAGACGAAACTAATCCTGTTTTTCTAGGAAAAGAAAAATTGACACACTACAGATGCCAAAAATATTTAACACAACGCTTCAACTTTCGGACGAAGTTGTATTGGACTGGAGACTGAATTGGAAGAAGCATGTAGATGATAAAGTGGAAAAAGCATGCTCGGCTCTTTGGCAATGTCGTAGGGTGGTGGAAAGGTCGTGGGGTTTAAATCCCAAGATTGCCTTCTGGATCTACACGGCAATAGTCAGACCGATGCTGTGCTATGGAGCTTTAGTTTGGTGGCCCAAAGCCAGACAAAAAACAACAGCCCTGCAACTTGAACACGTTCAGAGAATGGCGTGTCTCAGTGTTACAGGAGCAATGAGGACCACTCCCACAGCGGCTCTGGAGACCTGGAGACTCTTCTTTGCTTAGCACCTCTTAACCTTTACATAGAGGAAGCGGCAATGAGGACGTCTCTAAGACTTCATTCTCTGGGAGTATGGAACAAGCAAGGCCGCACAACGAAGCACACTCGAATCTTAACGGAGGCGTTCAACAGAATACCCTTGAGAATGGGTTGTGACCGAATGGGCACAAAACTAATATATGTGAAGACATCGATATCTATGTCGATGGTGCCAAAACGGATAGTGGTTCAGGAGCCGGCATCTACTCCGAACAACTGAACGCACAAATCAGTGTACCTCTCGGTATCCACACGTCTGTCTTACAAACAGAACTGATGGGAATAATGCTGGGAGCTAGAATCGTTGCTGAACGTGAAATTGGAAACAAATCTATACGCATACTTACTGACAGCAAGTCTGCACTATTAGCCCTGGACAGCTGTATGGTTCGATCTGTGCTGGTTTGGGAGTGCAGACAAACGCTAAAGTATGTAACGCAGAGGAATAGTGTGGAACTTTGTTGGATCAAAGGACACAGTGGCAACGAAGGAAACGAGAGGGCAGATGAGATGGCGAAGCGAACCGCGCCCATGCCCTTCTGGGGACCCGAACCGGTAATCACGCCTTCGGTCGCCCTCTCGAACGAACTCGTAAAGCAATATACCCATAGACGCCATGAGCAGATATGGGCGACGCTGAGCAACTGCCGGCATAGTAGAGCTTGTATGGCGACACCAGACCGTAAGTTGACGAAATTTTATCTCTCACTTTCAAGGGACAAACTGCGTAAACTGGTAGGATTCCTTACGGGACATTACCAGTTTAACAAACATCTACATACGATAGGGGTAGTAACAGACCCAATCTGTCGTGGGTGCAATGAAGAAGAGGAAACAGCTGAGCCCATTCTTCTTGAGTGTCCAGCCCTAGCCGCCTACAGGGAATCCATACTAGGGGACATCTGGCCTAGTATAGCAAATATCAGGGAGTTTCCACCTTCTGTATTACTCAAGTACATTCAAGCAGTTGGGTGGCTTGACGCCTAGAGGAGCGGGAAAACACCCTGATATGGACTTGCCGGCTGGCTACGGTCAGCCCCCATAAATTAAGAATCCAGAATCCAGGTCTCTGTGTTCATTTTTGTGTGCTTTTCTGTAACAAGTTTTCCCTCATTTACATCCCATTTCATCATGACGTTGTTAATTGTTAATTTTTGGAAAGCTATTTTGATCAATGATCCTTTATTCTTCCTTTCGTCGTCTCTCGCAATTTCTCTTACTTCTTTTTGTATTTGCCTTTCTTTCTCTGTCATTTTAGAATCAATATATAACTTCTTGTCTTTTAATCTTTTTTTTTTCTTAAAGTATCGTTATTTTATCATTGAAGTTAACTATTTCTATTATGCCTTTTTTATCTTGGATTTTATCTCGAGCTCCTTTTCCAACATACTTCCTATTGCTTCTGACATCTCTTCTTCGCTTTGCTTGGTCTTTTCTATTCCGGTAATCACTAGATTGTTGCGTATTTTTTCGTTTATTATCTTTTCCATTTTGTTTTCTGTCTTGATCAGGGCCTCTGTGATTTGTTTCTTTTCTCTTTCCCAGTTTGTCTAAGATCTGCTGTGTTTCTCTTCCACTTTGTTTAATCTTGCTTCTGTTTTCCATTATTTCCACTTTCATGATTTTTAGGCTGTAATTGCTCTTATGTCTTCTTTTATCTCGTTTTTAAGCTCCATCGTGTCTTCCTTTACGGCTTTCCTTAGCTCTGAGAGCATTTTCTTCATCAGTTCTTCCATTTCTGCTTCCTCTGTGGCGTCTACGAATTCTTTTTGTTGCCTCGATTCTTTATTCTTCGTTGGTGATTTTGCGTTATTTTTAATTCTTTGATACTCTTTTTGTTCTTCCGGTGAACTATTACTTTCGTCTTTTTTTCTCTTGGTCATTAGCTTTTCGTTTTTTTTTGTGACCTCTGTGGCCTCTGCCGATAGACGTGTCCGCGCGGTGCACGGTTCGAGTTGCCTTATCAGTCAGTTGAGCGATAAAAAATTTAATGTCTTTTATTTCCCGCGTTTTGCTGCTGTAATCTTTCAATGTGGTTTAATTTGACTATTTCTTTTACCTTGTATAGCTTGTTTTTGTCCTTATTATGCGCGTTCAGTTATTAACTTGGGTTTTTATGCCTTCAGATCACTTTTATTCACAGTGCGATTCTCGACACGTCTGCCCGCTTCGACGTTTGACTCACCCAGTTTCGGAGATTACCTGTCTAATAAAAATTCGGACAGATGACAGACAAACAGACAGACAGACAGGCAGACGGAAACGAGAAACATATTTCTTCGTATTCTAGGGGTCATGAAAGATTGAGAAAACATAAAAGTAGGGAGTCGCCCGATGGACTCGATTACAATACTTCTTTAGCTTACACTCGAGAAGTAAAAATACTTTCCACAGATACCAGAAAAAAGCGCCCAACTTAACAACTGCGCAACCCATAGCTCCTAAAAGCTTCTCATATTGTTTCCGGAGGTTTCACTATTGTAGATGAATATTAGAAAATATTGAGTTATTATCTACCTTATGTATTGTTTTTATATTTTCTGAATTAAGCTTCGCTTTGTTTAACTTGAATACTACCATATACTTACCTTAGCACTCTTTCTTCAGACATGACAATTTTTTTGGTATCTTACCTGTCATTATCGTTACCACCGGGATTTTTGTGGCTTCATGGTTGCTAAGATTTGTAAAAGTACATTAGTATATCTATATTTGGTCCTCCATCATTTTTTTTTGTACATGTATTTCAAAGACATAGTGTAACCAAACGTTTTCAGTTTTTAAATTAGAAAAAAAAGGACATCAAATTGACATTAAAAATGAGTGTTCTAGTAAAGTGGACAGTTTGGCATACAAAGCCATCTTAATAAAACACTTAATAATAACAAAAGTTTAATTTTATTCAGATTTATTAAAGTTGTTCTTGGAATTCAAAAATTAATCTATCACTGTCCGAGAAACTAAATTCTGAATCGGGATCAATCCCTCCAGATTTATAATAATCAGAGATTGGACTTGGTTTTCCATTCCAAAATAAGCTGAATAAGAGTCTTTAAAAAGACTGATTTACAGAAAATATTGAATACACGATTAAAACACAACACGCGAAAATCGAGAGGAAACTGACAACAAGCACGACGACACTAAGGCACAAGTGAGGGTGAAAGCTCCAGTTGACCTAAGTGGAAAGGACAGGTATTACGTTGAGCTGTGTGAAAACGGTCATGCTCAATTCAACTCCCCACATCCCACGACCGCTAATATTAGGGTTTTAGAAGATCACACGAAGATCACATGAAGATCACGCACTTTTACAACTACATCTGTTCGGTAAACGGAGTGTAAAAACGAATAGAAACATTACTTAGCAGTGGCCACGTACGAAAGATGCCTATACGATAAACAAATAGCATGTCGTTTCTCAAAATTTTCGTTAACCAATGAAATAAATACATCAGATTTTATTTAAACACTTGTTTCTATTAATTAAGTAATAAATCTTTAAATAATACAAGGTATACTATAACAATAAACCGAACAATATAACACAGCAAACTAGCACTAAGGAAGTAATACGCCTACTCATTAACCCCTTTAGAAAACGCTCGTTAATAGCCCCGGCAGGTTGTCGTTAATTTACTCGTCGTGGAGGAACGACGGCGGCGGATGCGGGAAGAAGTCGTTGTGGCGTTTGATCTTATCCCTGACCCTATTGCAGGCTTTCTGATCTTTTATCTGCTCGGCAGGGCAACCGAGCTGAATTTCCCTAAACAAGCAGTGCACGAGTTTAACGCCGGCCGGATTACAAGATTCAGTATCGGAGGTATCGCGGTTGGCTGTGGCATTCCTGGCTTCAGCCAAGCATGTAGGAATCACTTTGTCCTGGATAGAGGCGAACCAGGATTCCTTCGACATGGTCTCTTTCACTAAAGCCGTAAATTCGGCCTCTTTGGGGTTACCGTCCTCGTCCAGCTGTTGAATAATAACGCAATTATTAGTGATGGTATCAGTGTCGTGTTGTGGATGTTGTGCTGTGTTGCGTGCGTTCGGGACTATTTTTGAATTGAAAAAACCTAATAGTGGTTTTAATCATGGACAGGATACGAGTGATTTAGTTTCGCAATAGTTAGACCTTGGGGTGTACTTAAACTTACCAAGCCTTTTTGCTGGCCGACGCACTGGACGACGCACTGGAATAAGAAAAAATGATAAATAAATAAATAGAGAAATTAAAACACAAATAGCAAAATAAAGATTTGGCATGAACACAACTAGTTTATTTCTAGGTATTTATTATATTGTTCGTCATCTAGAAAATAAACAACAAGTTTTTTCGTGGTTTAAATTATTATCTGTTACTTCTGCGACGTTATAATAACCTTAGATATTTATCGTATAATATATAGTATTATAGAGTAGTATGGTTGGTTAACTTCTGTAGTTTAAGTTTGACAGGTTTTGTGTATGTAAACGTCGTGTCATAATTGATTTAACGTGACGATTAATTTTACCCAAAAAAGTTAAAAGCTCAATTTAAAATTCCCAGGGAGGTAAGGTATAGAAAAAAAGCGTGGGAAGTTATATTGACTGTACAATACATTATATTTATGTGAAATAATAACAATAGTAACCATTATTTTAATTTTAATTATGAAATTAAAGGATTTGTTTTTGAGAAAATCCATAAAATGTATTTTTTCATACATTTATTTACAAGAATTTGAATTTTATATACATATTTACCTTTCTAAAAATAAAATAATAAGCTTTATGCTAAACCACAATAAATATTACCGTATCTCAGGGTACGTTTTTTTAATAAAAATGTATGTCATAATGTTTTCATTTTGAATTCATCAACTATTTGGCGGGAATAAATGCAACAATTTCAGTTACTATTCCCAAAATTAGGAAAAAATAAATAAATTGCAAAATTGGATTATATAAACTTACTTTGTTCAGAGAATTCATATACATAAATAAAATTTAAAGAAGTAATCCAGGCGTAAGAAGAGGAGCTTTGTTGCACACTTGACATAAGATTTACTTAACAATAATTGTATTATAACGTTATCATTATCAATTCTTTGGAGGGGACAAATGAATCAATTTTAATGAATATTTTATCGTTCGTATCACCTTAAAGTGTATCTACACTTTTAAAGCAACAGGTCTGCTTGTATTGTCTAATATGGTGGTGAGCAGACCGCAAACAACTGAAAACGAGAAATTGGAATGTTCGTATTCTACGAGCTGTGAAACATGAAATGCATACCTACGTTCCTTAGCTATTATGTCTTAGCAATTAAAAATTCAATAACAGATTTCCTTATTAAGGTAAGTCATAATTATCTTGTGACTATTATGGTAAAAGACGCAATAACAAAATACAATTTGTTTTATTAAAAAAAAATTAACTATCGATATTTGAAAAATGTAATACTTAAATTTCTTTTATAAATGAACACTCTCTGTATGGAAATTCAATTTTATTTATATGACAACAACACATACCTCTCCTCAAATTTTTGGAAAAATAGAGTGAACTATTCCCGATTTAATCAATAAAATAAATTGACTCATTCATTAATTTTGAGTCACCTTGTATAACAAATTCAGAAATGTTTAATGCAATAACACATCACAAGTATAGACTCATCATATTTTGCGCATTTTGGATAGGATTTATTCAGCAAAATTTTGAGCTGACGTCATTAGTTTTTTGAGGGGAATAAAGAGATATATTTGGATTAAAAATTTACCATGCTTACGATACGTTTAACATGTCTATAAGATTTCAAAGCATTCGACTGTGCAGTGGCTGATTTAATCAATAAGATAACTTTTCCATTAATTTTTTGAATCACCCTATATAAGTAACTATAAAAACTGTGAGTGCGTTGATAAACCACAAGTATACAATCATAATATTTTGTATTTTTCAGAGAGAATTTATTCGGCAAAATTGTAAGATGACGTCATCAATTTTTTTGGAGGGGATAAAGATTTACCATAATTACGATAACTTTTAAGAGCATTAGGTTTCGCAGTTTCAAAGTTAAATTGCAAAATATTGTTATACAGAGTTTTTTTTTCCAAAAATCTGGATGTCTAGGGTTTAAATTCGACACGTATCCACATACTGCAAGTGCTAGTACTTGGTAAGATAAGACTGATTTTGGCAAAAATAGGGGGCGGGTGGGTGAGGCTAGTACTTGGTAAGATAAAATTGATTTTGCCCCTATTAATCTTGTAAAAACTTTATTTTTTAATTTTTCAAAATCGAAAAATGGGAAACCGAAATATAAAACAGTCGAAAAATTAAAACATCTACAGTTAAAAAACAAAAAACTGAAAATTCAAAAAATAAAAAAATCGACAAGTCGAAGAATCGAAATATATATTGAAAAATCGCAAAACTGAAAGAAATATCCAAAAGATGAGAAATTAAAAAATTGGAAAATCGAAACACAAAAAAAGCAAAGTCGAAAAATCGAAGAATTGAAAAACTGAAAAATCGAAATTTTGAGAAGTCGGGAAATGGGAAAATCAAAAATAGATTAAATGAGAAATCGGGAAACTGAAAATTTAGCAATGTCAAAATTTGAAAAATTGAAAAATGGAAATACTGCAGAACTAAAAAATAAAAAAATCGAGAAATCGAATAATCTAAAATTTAAAACATTGAACAATTAATATATCGCAAAATAAAAAAATCGAAGAACTGAAAAATCGAAAGTTTGGAAAAATCAGATTTAGGAATTAACTCGTTGCTGTGGAAATATGCAACTTAACACCTTTTACATTTAAGAAGTTTTTACAAGTTTAATAGGGACAAAATCAGTCTTATCTTAGCAAATGACATATCCTCTGAGAAAATAGGGGGCGGGTGGGCGGGCCTAGTATTTGTTAAGATAAAACTGATTTTGCCCCTATTAATCTTGCAAAAACTTTATTTTTTAATTTTTCAAAATCGAAAAATTGAAAAGTTAAAACTAGAAAAATTGATAAATCGAGAGATTGAAACATCCGAATCTCGATAAACCGAGAGATCTCAAAAAATTGAAAAATCGAAAATTAAAAAATTCGGAAAATTGAAATCTAGAAGAACTAAAAATTCGTGAAAAAGAAAAATTTAGAATTTGAAAAATTGAGAAATCGAAATATAAACAGTCGAAACATTGAAAAATCTACAGTTTAAAAACAAAAAATTGAAAATTCAAAAGTGCAGGAGTTCCTTATTTTATAAAATTTAAAAAAAACTTACTATTATAAATTTTGGAGATGATGTCATTCTATTGGTGGTGGGGCTGATTAGGCAAATTTTAGATAGCGTTTAACCATGTACATGATATCCCTAATATACATACAATATTTGACAACAATCGGTCCAGTAGTTTTGGAGTTTATGTGTCTAATAAAATTGGATATAGACGCCAGCCACTTTTGACACACTCTTGAGGTCATGACACAAAGAGAAAATATGAAAGTGCCAATTCGCCCGCTGGACTCAATTACTATAGTTACTCTTGGGAAGTAAAAATATATAGGTTGTCCTATTAAAAAGAAATAATAATAATAAATGCGTGCTGTGCCTCAAAAACAAAAATTCCATTGTCTAAAATAATTTTAATAGATGTAGACCATACAATGAGGAAAGATGACCAATGAATATATTGATTATTAAGCCAACGTTTCGAGACTGTATTTTTCTCTTCTTCAGGGCTAGAAAAATACATTCTCGAAACGTTGTATTGGTCTTCTTCCTCATAAAATTTGACAATGTATATGTCAACTAAGCTTACTGTATGCTGTAACTTTAATGTGTAACTATTTTTCTAACAAGTAATTAATGAGATATCGAGGACCACGCGCTTAGTGACTCACTCACTTAGTTTTTAGATTTGTTTAATAATTGTTCCGAATGACGTAATCAGCAGTTTGGTGGGGATATATTTATTCATAATTAAGACAACAGGATTGTGTGAAGTTAAAAATACAGGTAACTGAGTGATTAAGCCATAGCTTGAAAAGCAACATATTTTAAGTAAGACTTAAAGTAATTAAATTTTCAAAATAATCAATTTTTTGGAAGGGACGAACATACAAACTTTGATTATCATTAAGGCACATTCAAAATTTTAAATTAATAGGGTTGCTCAAAATGAAAACACTGATACTTCCTTTTAACTAGCACTTAGATAGTAGTAAACCTCGTAATAAAAATATCTGTCCAAAAACAATTATTGTGATCTAACATATTAAATATTATTACTGAAAAGAACTAACTTCATTGTGAATTGGAAAATGCATTTCCATAATTTCTATAGATTTTTTAAAAATAACAACTCTATTTGCAAACTGAAAGCTCGATCAAAAATCTAATTTATTCTCACTTTTGTTCTAGTTTTCTGTATGTAAAACAAACCAGTATCAGTTTATCACAAACTTAAACAGACTGATTTATTGACCTGGAGGGCAATTCAAACATTTACTCTATTCACGTTTTTTTAACCTGTGTTTATTTTTTAAACTCTGTCGCATTCTAAAAATGCTACATTATTATTTCTGTTGCCACCAATATTGGTTTGGTTGGTTTTCACATTCCACAGTAATTTGAAAATTATGAATTTATGATTGGACAAATTATCCAATAACTATACCGCGTTAATTGAGAGTATCATTTACCGTTTATTTAATCTTTATCCTTAAAAATTAAAATATATTGAAAACAAAGTGTTTGCAAGTTTATTGGCACATTAATTAAAAGTAGTTTGGAACTTGAGAAGCAGTTAGAAAACTGAAACTCTGTCAAAATTCACTTAATTCCTGAATTTTTCAGTGAAATTGTTACTTCTACATGGATTATAATTCCAGGAAAATGTTTAAGTTTCAGCTCAAACAAATTTTTTCACCAGTGTTTGATGAACCACTTAAAAACAAGTTGTTGGCTTTTCCGCGCAATCTAACTAACACAACAATTATTATATTATAAAGTTGCTCACCGTCATTTCCTTCCTATGTTTCTCCACTTTATCGCATCTGAAAGGATCAAACCCATCCTTCCCGTCTCTGCTGTCCTTCCCATCCTTATCCCTACCTGTCACTTTCTTGAAGCACTCCCTCTTTATCTCCCTGTTCTTCTCGTGCAGCGCGTCGGTAGTTTCTTCAGCGCAGCACCAACTCTTCCTCCTGAAGGGTCTACACTTGTCCTTATCTAAGTTCACCGCTTCCTCGTCCCTACGGCTCCTGGGATGCTGGAATTCATCCTCCAACGAGTGAAGTTCCGCCAGCTCATCGGCCAGGATTTGGTCTGCAGTTTCAATGAAATAGTTGAGTACACACCTCGCTAACGAAATTGTACTTACTAAATAGCGGGTCGTTAAAATCGTAAGCTGTGGCGATGACGGCGATGGCTATAAGAAGAGTAACGACTGCGATTTGCTTATTCATGGCTGTGCTAGTTTATTACCACTGAAGAGCGATCATCTAACCGTCCTTTATATAGCAGTTTCATGATGGCAGATTACGGCAAACCTCACGTCAGCGGTAAAATAGAAAAAATTATAATCATCCGTTGATTTCACAGCGTTGGAACGATTTGAGGCAATTTTTTTGTTTGCGAAACGATTAGATTCAAATTATAAAATCTTAAGATTTTTTTAGAGATAATAAGGTGAAGTTTTATGCGCCAGGAATTAACAATGTAGTTATTTTGGGAAGTGCAGAAAAAGGCTGCAGGACTGTTCTATCTGCAAAACATCACGTATAATTAAATAATTATTGTAAGCTATAAATAAAACGAAAACCATTTAGTTAGTTAGTACTAATAACAGACTAATATTAAATAAAAAATATGTATTTCGCACGAAGTATGTCACTGTCGAGTAAAATAGAAAGATTAAATATCTCTCCAAAAATGTCGATTTTAAAAGAATACTTGAAGGACCAGAATTGAAATTTTAAGATCACATTTTTTTCTGAATATACTTTTATTATGAAATTTTATAATTTTTGCTTGGTATTAGACGAATTTTAAAGTCAAATAAAGCTTCCAATCTTTTAGTTTTTACGTTTTATCGAAAACTTTGGAAAAATCATCTATAAAAAATATCATTTATAATGAGTAATGACAGAGTTAGAAAGAACATAGCAATAAAATCTTAAAAAAGTATCAAATACAACAAAACAATTTAATAAAAGTTAATTAAAACTATTTCAAAAGAATACATAATACATAAAACTTACTGCCATCATGTCACATTTATATTCTGCAATCTGGTATGTTGTGCTACGTTTGGCTCTTATGGTATTGTCAATATATTTTCAGAATGTAATACCTCCATAATTAACATACTTATTGTTACGAAATTTTAAATGTAACATGTCCACAACTTTCACTATATAATGCGGGGATAGTTTTTTTTGTGGACAGTTCATTACCATATATTTTTTTTAATTTTATTGAAATTTTTGCATCATATATTTTAAAAAATCAATATTTCAGTTATTTATGGAAATTTTGGAACGCGGCTTTCACCACTTTTTCAGCTTATAAAACTTTAGAAATCGTACGAGATATATTTTCGACTTTATTTGTTGGAACCTAGATATAGTAAAAAGAAGTTTTTAGCAGCTTCTATAACACAAGCTTTTTTTTACTGTCTCGTTTCTGTCAAAAAAGTCGACGATATATCTACTATAATTTCTGGAGTTTTGTAATTTGAAAACAGTGTTGAAAACCGTGTCGGAACACGGAAAATTTCCTTAAATAATTGATATATTGATTTTTTGAGATACAATATGCAAAACTTTTACTAAAATTAAAAAAAGTATGATTCCAAACTGTTGTATATGAAGAAAGTTATGGACAGCTTGTATTTAAAATTTCGTAATCATAAGTCTGTTAATAATGGAGATATTGCATTTTGAAAATGTACCGAAAATTCCATGCAGAAAACATAACGTTTAACAGTAGTAACGACAATATTGCAAAATATTTATCAAAAGACGTTTCTTAAAAAAAAAAATGTTTTGACTGAGACATTAAATTTGTCAACTGTTAATTTTTTTATGTATTATTTTGTATAGCTTTGGTGTCATAATTTTGATTCTTTTTTCAGTAATTGTTTTACCAAAGTCTTACAACTGAGATACTCAGTCGTTTTTTATGCCAAATATGTATCTATATAAAAAATATTTCACCTGTATCTTTTTGAGTATTTCTCACAAAAACTGTTAAACTGTTAACTGGTAAAATGAAAGGATTATATTGTCCAAACGCGTTAATAATCTAAGAATAACTATTGTAAAAGTCAGTCTGCAAAATATTAAAAATTTCAAATTTTATTGATGTTTCATAGCTAATCGAATAGGAAAATGTCGTTATTTCAGTTTCTTTCTGCTATCGTCTACCTGACGTCTGTTGATAGTAGGTATTATAGACACTTTTCAACTATTTTAAAATTTTAGACTTACTTAAAATTTATATTCCTTGAAAAATTAGTAAGGCCTTCTCAAAATATTGTGATTATGTCTCACTTAAAAGTGGGGCGCAACGTTTAAACATCCCGCTTTTTTCAATTTAACTACGGTTTAAAAATTTCATTTTGATTTAAACACTGTGGAACTTTCATTATTTTTACTTCCCGAGCGTAAGTTAAGGAAGTATAGTAATGGAGTTCATCGAACGAATGGCCACTTTTATGTTTTCTCGACGTTTCATGACCCCTACAATACGAACAAGTAGTCGCCCGTTTCCGTTCATCTGTCTGTCTGCCTGGTGTCTGTATCCATTTTTATTAGACAAGTAATCTCCGAAACTAGTGGACCAATTGTTGTCACATTTTGTATGTATATTGCGAATGTCAACTAAAATATAGGGTGACGTCAGCTTCAAAATTTATAATAGTAAGTTTTTTTAAATTGTAAAAAATAAGATACTCCTGCACTTGTGGTGTGTAAATCCATGTCGAATTTTCATCCTAGACATGCAGAATTTTTGGAAAAGATTCAAAACTGTATAACAATATTTTGCAATATAACTTTGAAACTGTAAAACCGAATGCTCTGAAACCTTGTAAACATTTTAAGGTTATCGTAATCATGGTAAATCATAAAGTAAAATTTATTCTTTTATCCCCTCCCAAAGAACTGATGACGTCATCTTAAAATTTATTATCCAAAATGTGCAAAATATGATGCGTCTATTCTATGATTGCATTAAAAGTCTTTAAATTTTTTACACAAGCGTGAAAATTAATGAATGATTCAATTTATTTTATTGATTAAATCAGGAACGGCTCACTCCATTTTGCCAAAAAATTTTTTATTCGCATTTGCAGGCAGTTTTAATCCCAAATATTTTCAAAGAAATATTTTGCAGTCAGTAAACAAGTTAAATAAAATGACTTTTTAGTTCCAAAAGATTATAAAACCAATTTTGAACTAGTACAACTCTAATGACTTTCAATTAAATGCCATTTTATCTACACTTTTTTCATCATAGGCTATAAAAATTTTTTTAAAAGTTATAAAATAATATTGATCTAAAATTATAAAAACACTATGGAATGGAGAAATATTTAACAAAACCATGCCATGAAGGTGTGTCGTGCCCTTTATAAAACAGAACGAAATTTACTCCAGAATCTTGAAAACATATTTAACATTATTTTCCGAAAAAAATAAGTAAACAACTCTTTCAAGTCTGCAAAAAATCAACTTCCATGATTTATTTATTTTCAATTCACAAAACAAAATCGAAGAGAGTTTTCTGGGAAAGGAAATTTGGAAAATCGGTTAGTTAGACCTTAGAACGTTAAAAGATAAAAATTATTTGGAAGTGTTTCTAGATAATTTAGTTTTTGGATAAAAATTATATTTACTAAAATTTTTGTTCTCTAAAAATCCTAATTTGCAGTTTGAAAATAGGATACTGTAATTTTTTTAATTTTTCTAAGAAACGTAATTTGTATTTATTTTGTTTTTGTACCCTCGAAAAAAGTGACGAAATAGATGGTTAAACTTTGGATTTTTTAATGAAAAATATTGGATAAAATTTCCCTCGTCCCTTAAACGCAATCGAACTAATCCAGGTCTTTCGAAAAATTATAAAATTTTATTTATTTTATGAAATTTAGGTAGTTTTTACCATTTACACGATACTCCAGTAAAATACGTGTAAAATTCGACGATAATCTGTTGATTAGTTTTGAAGATTATCTGTCTAATTAAAATCGACACAGACAGACAGACAGACGGACGAAAGACAACAGACAAACGGAAACTGGGGACCACTTTTTCCGTACATGAACATGAAAGTAGCGAGTCGCCCAATGGACCCTATTACATTACTCCCCTCGTTGACGTTCCTAAATTAATATCGTACTTGCGTAATTTTTATTTACCTTTCAAGCTTAAACTGGGGAAGTAATGTATTAAGGCCCATTCGATAAATAGCTAATTTCACGTTTTCCATAGCTTCTAGAGTATGAAAATATGTTTTCAAGATATCATATACATGGAAGAAAGCTAACGAAAATTTCATCCTTCTCAAAAATTTTATGACATTTTAGAATTTTCGGAGATAAATTCTACATTAGATTAAAAAATAAAAAATTGGTCTAACGTTATTTAGATTTAAAACATTTTCCGAATTTATTTACTTCATGATAACCACCTATTCGTTAAAAAAAAATAGATAATGCCAGTCACCAAGTAAGAAAAAAAGTGAGTTACGGGAATCGAACCAGCGATCTTCATGTTATTACATAGTAGGGCATTTCTCCAACTGATTCAAGGGACAACTCAACTGCATTTGTTTTATACTGTTTTAAAATATCGAATTTGTATTTTTTTTTGAGAAAATCTTAATGCCTAGAGTAAAAACTAAAGACGGATTCGTAAACCACAGATATAGGAGTATGTTAATTTTATAAAATTGAAATAGAATTTGCTATATGAAATTTTCCGGTGACGTCACAAAATGTTAGTGGAATTTATTGAATGAATATTGTTTAAAAAAGCAAATTTGAAACACACCTATCTAACAAATGAAAATTATTTTGTAAAAAATACTTAGAATTATTTAACCGAATCTGCATGTGAGAATATAGTAAAGATAAAAATTATTTTGAAGTGTTTAAACTAAAGGTTTCTAGATAACTTCCTTTTTGGAGAAAAATTACATTTACCACGTTTTCAAGTGAAGTGAAGTTAAATTAAATAAATAAAAGCTTAGCGTAGTGAAGAGAGTGTTTAAACAGCGAGTTTTTAGAGAAGTTTACAAATGTGTTACATACTATGCTTTTCCTGCAACTTAAAATTAAAATAATAATTATGGAAACTCTGAAATTTACTACCCCACAAAAAATAAAATACCAACATCATGAACATCATAAAATTTTTGTTAAACTGATATTTTATTTAACAATACAGAATTGTCAATTTGCAAAATGCTGTGGTATGCACTTCGTCTTGTC